TGTCTGGCCTTACTATCTCTCTCTTGTTCTTTTTTTGGTCTTTTTGAGACAGGGTTTCACTTTGCAGGTCAGGCTGGCCTCGAACTCACTATGGAGCCCAGGCTGTCCTCAAACTCGTGGCAATCTTCCTGCCTCAGCCTCCTGAGTGCGGGATTGTAGCTGTGTGCCACCACGCCTGGTATCACTCACAGTCAGGTTCTATGCCATTTCCCGCAGCTGTCACACTTGGGCCAGGGCACGAGGACCAACGTGTATGAGGGTCTCCTGCGAGTGGAGATGCTCGAGGAGGACAAAGAGGATGGCGTGGACCCTGGGGAGCCCAGTGGGGGCCGTGGGCAGGAGCTGCATGTGGTGCTGAAGGTGCTGGACCCAGGTCACCACGACATCACGCTGGTGCGTGTGCAGGGCCCTTGGCCAGCAAGGGGGGTGGGGGGGTTGGGGAGGACACAGCCAGCTGAGCCACTGTCCCCACAGGCCTTCTACGAGACAGCCAGCCTCATGAGCCAGGTGTCCCACGCACACCTGGCCTTCATGCATGGTGTCTGCGTGCGCGGCTCCGAGAGTGAGTGCCCGGCACCCCCGACTTCACCCGCTCCCTGGGCTGCACCCAGCCCCTGACTCCAAGGCTAAGCCCAGTCTCTCACTCCTCCTGGCGAAGTTGCTAAGTTGCCCAAGCTGGGCTCAAACTGGCAGTCTTCCTGCCTCAGCACCCCAGAGAGCAGGGATTACAGGGGTGTGCATGACCTTCACTCTGCCCCACCCCGTAGATGCCAACCCCTCACTTATCCCCGCTTACGTTTTGACCCTCCCCTGCACCTGTACCTCATTCTGCTCCCTCTTCCCACCTGACTCTTCCTGCCCCAGCCCCCACTGACCCTCCGACCAGCAGGCCCCAGCCGCTGCCCTCAATCCTCCGAGACCTCTGCTTCTCAGCCTCCCTCCTCTGCATGCCCCTCAAAGCCCCATGTGCCAGGCACATGCACACCTGCAGTCACAGCACTCTGGGAGGCTGAGGCAGGAGGATCACAAGTTCAAGCCCACCCTGGGCAACTAAGTGATTTAAAGAGACCCTGTCTCAAAATAAAAAATGAAAAGGGGCTGGGGGTGAAGCTCAGTGCCAAGGCCCTGGGTTCCATCCTCAGTATTTCAGAAAAAGAAAAACAAAATGGTATGCACATAAAAGGTGAGCCCAGCGCACATGCCAGGACCCCAAGTACGTGTCCTGTGCTCTTGCTGTCCCCACAGGACAATGGCCACACCCACCCTGCCTCCCGACCTCTCCTTTGCTCTGTGCCCTGACCCCACTTGCACCCCAACACCCAGCTGCAGGCCTCTGACACCCACCACACCCGCCCCTGCTTCTGTGCTCACCTCGCCATGGAGGTCGCCTTTGCCAGCCTCCTCCACGCCCCCCTCCCGCGCCAGTGTCCCTGGCCTCCTGTGCCTCCGCGGCGCGGCACTCTGCACGTCCCTTGTCCTCAGACTCCCAAAGCCTCTCTGCCCTGACACTGGCCCCCGGCCCGCCCCCACTCCAGCCCCCCAGTCCTGGGCTGGGCCACCTGGCGGGGAGGCGGCCCCTGGAGCACTGGGTCTTTGCAGACGTCATGGTGACGGAGTTCGTGGAGCACGGGCCCCTGGACATGTGGCTGCGGCGGGAGCGGGGCCGCGTGCCCCTGGCCTGGAAGCTGGTGGTGGCCCAACAGCTGGCCAGCGCCCTCAGCTACCTGGTACGTGGCCCGGGGATGATGGGTGGCTACTGCACAGCCTCAGCCCCCGTGCCCGCCTGGGGACAGCTGGCCGTGAACCTGTCCTGTCCCCTTGACCCCCTCCGCCACCCGTTTCGGGTCCCTCCTTGTCCCATGGCTCCAGTTTCTATAGCTTCCCTTCCCGCATTTACTGTTAACTGCTCACCCAACACCAGGCCCTGTCCTAAACCCCTGGGACACGCCAGGGGCCAGAACTGGCAAATCCCTGTGCTCTGGGAACGCATTTTGGTTGAGAGAGATAAAATCACGCACAGCCCCTCGGGTTTGGTCCGGAACCCATAGGGGACCAAATTCAAGAGTGCTCAGTCCCTTCTGTAAAGTGCTGCCCAGTGTGCCTAGAACCCCAGTGCATCCTGCCGTAGGCTTTAAGTCATTTCTGGTGGTGCACACATATAATCCTGGCACTCAAGAGGCTGAGGCAAGAGGATCATCGCAAGTTCAAGGCTAGTTTGGGGTACAGAGTGAGTTGAAGGCCAGACTACATAGTGAGACCTTGTCTCAAAAAAACAAAAACAAAAAAGAGGTGAAATTTTAATATGTGGATCAGGAAACCTTGCTAAGACTTCCTGAAGGAGGGGCAGGCAGCTACCATGAGACGTTTGGGGACACCATTTCAGGCAGAAGGAGCAGCAAGTGCAAAGGCCCTGGGGCAGCACTGGGTTCCTCTGGCCTTTTGCACCTGGCTGAGGCCCTCAGCCACCACTGAGACTCCGGGAAAACAAGAAAGACTCACCCAGCCCCTCTGCTGCCTGGTCACAATGACAGTGTAGTGGTATCTCAGTAATGACCAGGATTGTCGTTCCCATGGGGGCCTCAGGGATGGGGCTTGGAGGTCGAGTTCGTGCCCCTGCTCAGCACCCTCTCTCCTCCTACCCTACCCCAGGAGGACAAGAACCTGGCGCACGGGAACGTGTGTGGCAGGAACATCCTCCTGGCACGGCTGGGGCTGGCAGAGGGCACCAGCCCCTTCATCAAGCTCAGCGACCCAGGCGTGGGGCTGGGCGCCCTCTCCAGGGAGGGTGAGTGGCCCTCCAAGCAAGCGGGGCCGGGCACAGGGCTGCCCCTCTCCCCGCACCCTTGGTGACCGTGACCTGGCCCCCAGAGCGTGTGGAGCGCATTCCCTGGATGGCGCCTGAGTGTCTGCTCGCCGGGACCGGCAGCCTGAGCACAGCTGCGGACAAGTGGGGCTTTGGTGCCACCCTGCTGGAGATCTGCTTCGATGGCGAGGTGCCCCTGCAGGGCCGCACCCCCTCCGAGGTACTCCGTGGGGGATCTTTAATCCTAACCTCTCAGGAAGCCTGACAGTGACCAGGGCAGGGAAGGGGAGGGGCTGTCTGGGACCCAGCAGAGTGGCTGGACGAGGCTGCTCAGAGTTGAGTTTTTTATTTTGTTTTTGAGACAGGGTCTCGCTATGCAGTTCAGGCTGGCCTTGAGCTTGCAGTGATCCTCTTCCCTCAGCCTCCCGAGTGCTGGGATGGCAGTTGTTTGCCACCACAGCTGGTCCCCAGAGGAGGTTTTATCTAAGGGCAGAAGTAGGTGGGTGATCCAGGCTAGGGAGGGCAGATAGGCAGATATAGGGGGCCCAGCCTATGCAAAGGCCCTGGGGCTTTCATGCTGTTAGGCAGGAAAGGTGACCCTGAGGTACTCCTGCTGGGCAGCTGAGCCTCAGTTTCTTCCTCTGGGAAATGGGAACGAGGAGTGCAGGCACCTTGCCAGGCTGCCCTGCTGCTCTAGAGGGGAGTGTTGGGCCAGGGTGAGGTGCTGACTGGCTGCTTGCCCCCCAGAAAGAGCGCTTCTACCAGAAGCAGCACCAGCTGCCTGAGCCCTCATGCCCCGAGCTGGCCGCAGTCACCAGCCAGTGCCTGAGCTACGAGCGGGCCCAGCGGCCGTCCTTCCGCACCATCCTGCGCGACCTCACGCGGCTGCAGCCCCACAGTGAGCCCCGCCTCTTGTGGGGACCCGGGGGGGGGGTCCCTGCCACCACAGGCTCAAGCTCATGGTCCCCAAGGTCTCTGCACTGGGGCCCAGAGTGTGTGCTGGTTCCTCTCTGAGGGGAGAGGAGGGTGAGGTGAGACGCAGCCGCTTCCGGCCAATGTGTGGAGGCCGCGGCGCTCTGCCCAGTCTCACACTGTCCTGGCCGTGCACCCTGCTCCTCTGGGGATGGAGCGCAGGGGCTCCCTCCTGCTGGGCAAGGGCTCTGCCCTGGAACCACCCAAAGCCCCATGACTCAGTTTTCATGTCGAGGGCCATGTATTTTTGGCAGAAAGTAAAATTTTCCAGCTGTTTCCTTACCTCCGGGATGGGATACTGGAGGGTAATGGCCACCTCAGGATCCTCCAGCTGTGGGCCCGCTGGCTCCTCTAGGTCTCGTGGACGTCTCAACTGTGAACCCCGACTCACCTGCGTCAGACCCCACGGTCTTCCATAAGCGCTATCTGAAAAAGATCCGCGATCTAGGGGAGGTGAGGGCAGGGCCCAGCGGGGCTGGTGTGGAGCCTGGACAGCTGTGGACTGGGTTGGAGAGGCTGGGTGGGGTCTGGAGAGCTGGGCTGGGGCAGCTCAAAAGGGGAGGACTTGGAGATTATGGGAATCTCTGCATAGGAGTAGTTCCAAAAGGTACATGGTGGCTCATGCCTGTAATCCCGGCACTCGGCACTCAGGAGGCTGAGACAGGAGGATCTTTGTGAGTTTGAGACCAGCCTGGGCACAAAGTGAGCTCAAGGCCAGTCTGAAGTGCATAGCGAGACCCTGTCTCAAAAAAAAAAGATAAAAATAGATAAAAATAAAAAAGAGATAATGCTGGGGCTATAGCTCAGTGGCACAAGCGCCTGCCTGGCAAGTGCAAGGTCATGAGTTCGATTCCTGGTACAAAAAAAATAAAAATAAATAAAAATAGAAAAAAGATAAGGATGGGAGACTCCCCAGCTCTGGGGGAGACGCTGGGGTATGTAAGAGGTTGGAGGCCCTAAGACCCCTGAGCATGCGGCAGGTGGGGCTTAAATCTTCTCCAACAGATCTACTTGGGGTGTGGCCTGGGAACACGGGTGGGATTGACCCTCATGCACTCTCCCTCCAGGGTCACTTTGGCAAGGTCAGCCTATACTGCTATGACCCAAACAACGATGGCACTGGCGAGATGGTGGCGGTGAAAGCCCTCAAGGCGGGCTGCGGGCCCCAGCACCACTTGGGCTGGAGGCGGGAGATCGAGATCCTGCGCACGCTGTACCATGACCACATCATCAAGTACAAGGGCTGCTGCGAGGACCAAGGTGGGTGACTGGGCAGGGGTCGGTGCCCCAGGGCGGGGCTAGGTAGTGGAGCAAAGATGACTTTGTAGCCAGTCACTGGGCAGCCATGGGCCACAGTGATTGGCCAGGCCTGCTGCGACCTATGGGCGGAGCCACCCTGGCCTGACCAGTTAGGATCTTTCAGCCCCGCCCTATTGGGGGCGTGGCCAAGCAGCCTTGTTCCCAGCCCTGCGGGGGCCTGTGCTGCCTGCCTGCGCCAAGGTGGACTTCAAGGCTCTTCCTTGCCACGGGGCAGGGGTCAGGGTGGGACATCCCACCTGAGGACTGGGCCTAGTGTGCAGAGACTTTGCCTTTTCTCTCTACCTGGAAAAGAGCCCCGCGGGGTGGGTGGGTCCCTGAGCCCCCGCGCTGTCTGTCCCCTTGGGCCCTCTCCGCCACAGGTGAGAAGTCCGTGCAGCTCGTCATGGAGTACGTGCCGCTGGGCAGCCTCCGAGACTACCTGCCCCGGCACAGCGTCGGCCTTGCCCAGCTGCTGCTGTTCGCCCAGCAGATCTGCGAGGTGGGCGGCCCCGCGCCTGCTCCCGAGCCTGCCATGCTGCGGCTGCTGCTTCCCGAGCGGGGTCTGCGGACGCTCCGCCCGCTGCTCGCCGGCCTCTGCCTCGGGTCCTGATCTCGGGGCTCCGCCCGCGGGCGCCGCTGCTCCCTCACTTGTTCCCCACCCCGCCCAGGCCCTCTGCGGGACCCGCCTCTGCTATCTTGTTCCTCCCTCCGATGCGCGGTGCCGGCGCCGATGCGCGGTGCCGGCGCCGGCGGTCCTGCTCTGCTCTCTCGGGTGGCCGGGTCTCCAGGCTTCACCCACTGTCGCTCAGCCACGCAGCCAGCCGCGCCCTGACGGTGGCCCGCCCGCCCCCAGGGCATGGCCTACCTGCACGCGCAGCACTACATCCACCGCGACCTGGCCGCGCGCAACGTGCTGCTGGACAACGACAGGCTCGTCAAGATCGGGGACTTCGGCCTGGCCAAGGCCGTGCCCGAAGGCCACGAGTACTACCGCGTGCGCGAGGACGGGGACAGCCCCGTGTTCTGGTGACCAGGCGGGCGCGGCCGGGGGTGGGAGTGTCCCAGTGCCACTTGGGAAAGGCAAGGTGGGGGAGCCAGGCTGCCCCGCTGGACCTGGGCGGGGCCTGGAGGTGGGACGGCCCGAGGGTGGGGTCGGTCTGGGAAGATCTTCACCCCGAGGCTGTGCCCTTCACGGTGGGATCGCAAATGGGGCAGAGGAGACCTTCCCTCCGGTGAGGCTCCCGCCTGGCCCGACCCCTAGCCCCGAGTCCAGCCCCCAGGCCTGAGCTCCCCCTTTCCCAGGTATGCCCCCGAGTGCCTCAGGGAGTGTAAGTTCTACTACGCGTCCGACGTCTGGTCCTTCGGCGTCGCACTCTACGAGCTGCTGACGCACTGTGACTCCAGGCAGAGCCCGCCATCGGTGAGGCCAGGCCCAGGCCCTAGCCCCGGGTTTCCTAGGGCAGTTAGAAGGGCCTGCATTCCAAGTCCACCACGGCCTCACCGTCCTGATGTGGAAGATGGGCCACCTGCAGGGTAGGGGGTGGGGTAGGGATTGAACCCAGGGCCTGAACATTGAGCTACATTTCCAGCAGCACTTTAATTTTTGAGACACAATCTCACTAAGTAAACTGCCCAGGGGGACTCAGCCTTGCATTCCTCCTACCTTAACCTCCCAAAGTCCCAAGATGACAGGCAGGCGCCACCACTCTACCTTGCAACAGGGCTTTGTAACAGAAATGCTTTTCAAATGGGGAGGGAACCAAGGGTCTTCCTTTCTCCTCCCCCCATAATCCCAGGACTTTCTCTGATTGGCCCAGCTTGGTTCATGTATCCACCTTATAGCCAATCACTAACCATGGGGCCTAGGGGGTTGGGGGAGGAGCTAGGCAAGCTGCCTTTTTTTTTTTTTTTTGGTCTTTTTGAGACAGGGTTTCACTTTGCAGTTCAGGCTGGCCTTGAGCTCACTTTGTAGCCCGGGCTGGTCTCGAACTCGCGACGATCCTCCTGCCTCAGCCTCCCGAGTGCTGGGATTATAGGCCTACGCCACCACTCCTGGCCAAGACGCTTTTAAAGAAGAAAATTCTGAGCCTTCCTTGGGAACCTTCTTACACTTATAATCCAGCTACTCTAAGGGCTGAGGCAGGAGGATCCCTGCAACTTTGAGGCCAGCCTCAGCTACAAAGTGAGTTCAAGGTCAGACTGAAGTGCATGGTGAAACCGTTTCAAAAAGACCAAAAACAAGAAAAAAAAAACACCTCACAAAAACTTTCAGTTTTCAGACAAGGAAAACCTACTTCCTGAGAGGCTTATTAACAGCAGCCAACATGTGATTGGGGCTCACTCTACAGACACTAATTTTTGTGGCTTTACACTTTACACCAACCCCAAGCAGTACATGTGGTTAGCGTTAGCATCCCATTTCAGGAATGAGAACACTGAGGCCGGGGGAGGCTTGGAGAGAAACTCAAAGTCACACAGCTGAAAAGTGTTGAGGTGGGATTAGAAAATGTCTTGGCCTCTGCCGGGTCTTTGCTGCCTCCAGAAAAAGCTCATCTGGATTGTACCGTAGAAATTCATGGAGCTCATAGGCATCACCCAGGGCCAGATGACTGTGCTGAGGCTCACGGAGTTGCTGGAGCGAGGGGAGAGGCTGCCGCGGCCGGACAGATGTCCCCTGGAGGTGAGATGCCCCTCTCCCCAGCCCTGTTCTCATCACTGAGCTGCGGAAAGCAGCAATCGCGGCCTGCTTCTGCCCCGCCAGATCTATCTCCTCATGAAGAACTGCTGGGAGGCCGAGGCCTCGTTCCGGCCCACCTTCCAGAACCTCATCCCTATCCTCAAGTCGGAGCAGGAGAAGTACCAAGGCCAGGCCCCCTCGGTGTTCAGTGTGTGCTAAGTCCATGGAAGCCCGAGCCCCATGGCTCCAGGTTGTCCGGCAGCAGCAAGGGCTCCCGAGGCGGAGGCCGGCCTGGCTCACCCCTGTGGGGGAATCCCTCTGCACACCCTGCTGCTGTGAAGTGACCACTGTGAAGTGACCGTCCTTCCACAGCCTCGAGGGACCCAGGATGGACAGGGGCTGGTCAGGCCTTCTGCAAGCGACTGACACAAGACCCGCCATCTCCATTGACCGCACATAAACTCCTCTTCCGCTGCTGGTGGCTCTGGTCCTTTTGGCCAGCAGCTGGGGTCTGCTCTGTGGGCCATAGCTACGTCAAAGAGGTCACTATTAAACTTCTTGCTGGGTGTGTTCGTGCATGTCTGGAATGCCAGGACCCTGAGAGGCTGAGGCGGGAAGATAGCTGTGAGTTCAGGCCAGCCTGGGATACACAGCAAAACCCTGTGTGAAAAATAAAAAAGATAACTTATTTTTAAAGTGTGAGGATGTAGCTCTGTGCAAAAGTCCTGGATTCCATCCCTAGCACCAAAAATGAAACAAAAAACTGAAACCACCACCTCCATCTCCACCAGTGTCTGGTACATAGATGGCACCCAGTAATTACCTGTTAAATGTACAAAATCCGCAGGGGGCCACGTGCCTCATAGATTTGACTGCCAGGTTCTCCTTTCCTTGCTGTGTGACCTCAGACCAGTGTCTTCACTTCTCTGGGCATCACTCCTCAGCTCTGGGATGGTCCACCTGTGACCTCACAGGAGCGATGTACACTGTCTGTGAGGTGGGTGCATGTAGACTGCTTAGCAGAGACCTGCAGACTGGTGCTTAATAAACATTGGATATTGTTATTTGGTTTTTGTCTTAGTTTTTGTTTTTTTGAAGCAGGGTCTCACTATGTAGTCCATGATAGCCTTGAACTCGCTATGTAGCCCATGCTGTGAGCTCACAGCGATCCTCCTGCCTCAGCCTGCCAAACGCTGGGATGACAGACGTGTGGTGGCGTTCCTGACCCCTTATGGCCCTTGGAGGAATCGTCGTGGCACTCAAAGCTGGTAGAGGAGGGCTGGGGTCAGAATTGCACAGTTGGTGACTCAGGAATTAGGGCTGGGGCCGGCAAGGGCTCCTGACCAGATGCGTACACAGAGCCATCTCTGTGTAAACTGGGTGACCTGCTTACCTGTTCCCTTTGTATTTGGACCTGGCTGTCCTGGTCCTAGGTTAAAGTTTAACTCCAAGGGTAGATCTAGTCCAAAAAGCAGGCTCCGCACTAGGCCTGCCCCATCGCTCCTGCTGTTTCGAAGCTACCTCCTATTGCAAGAGTTGGAAACAAAGCTTTTTTTGCGGGGTGGGGCACCAGGAGTCGAACTCAGGACTTTGCGCTTGCCAGCCAGGGGCTGTGCTGCTGAGCTCTATTCCCGGCCCCTATAACAGAGTTGGAACCACACACTATGTAGCCCTTTCACACTGGCTTCTGTAACCTCGTGAAGTGAATTTATGTTTCTTTCATTTTTTTCTGTGGCTGGAGAGCTCATTTCTAGTGGTTTTTATTTTTTTTTTCCTCTCCCTTTCCCTCCCTCCCTCCCTTCTTCCTGTTCCTGGGAGTGAGGTGATAGACAGGAATCCAGGGCCTCGCAAACGCTAGGCAAGAGCTGTAGCACTAACCCACCCAGCCCTACTTAAAATTTTATTTTCTGACAGCTTCTCTAAATTGTTCAGGCTGGGCTCAAACTTGTAGTCCTCCTGCCTCAGCCTCCCGAGTGGCTGGGATTACCGGTGTGTGCCACCACTCTAGGTTTTGTTTTTGAGCATTGAGTAATACTGCATTGTCTGGATATACCACAGTGTATCCATTCCCCACCTGAAAGACACCCTGCTTGCTTCTAAGTTTTGGCAATTATGTGTAAAGCCGCAATCAGTACCCACAAGCAGGGTTTGGTATAGACATACATCATTTACTCTTTAAAACCTTTTATTATGCATAATTTAAAGCATGTTCAAAAGTAGGGAGAAGCTGGGTGGGGAGGCACACGCCTGTCATCCCAGCACTCAAGAGGTTGAGGCAAGAGGATTGTCTCAAGTTCAAGATCAGCCTGGGCCACAAGCAACTGTAAAGCCAGACTGAACTACAGAGCAAAACCTTGTCTCAAAAAAAAGAAAAAAACAAAACCCAAAATGTAATAAAACTACCTCTTAATCACCAGCCAACCAACAATTTTCAACCCCACAACCACTATTGTTTTATTTTTAGAGAAAAGGTCTGGCTACATTGCCCAGGTTGACCTTGAACAACTTGGCCCAGGAGATCCTCCTGCCTCAGCCTCCCAAGTAGCTGGAACTAGGTATATGCCACCTTATCCCAAGTTTGTTTCCTCTATCTCTTCCCTCCCCCTTCCCCTCCTTTACCTTGATGCTGGGAGTGGAGCCCAGGGCTGGGTGCTTTTTCTTCTACTCTGCTGAGCTGTCTATGCTCCCAACCTCCAAGCTCTTGCTTTAAATCCCTACTCTTGTCTCCCCTAACCATCCGAGTAATTTCTTTTCTTTCTTTCTTTTTCGTGAGACAGCGTCTCACTACACAGTCAGGCTGGTCTTGAACTCACTATGGAGCACAAGTCGACCTCAAACTCACAGCCAGTTGACCTCCTCCTGTCTCAGCCTCCTGAGTGCTGGGATGACAGGTGTACGCCACCATGCCCAGCTGTCCCTGAATAATTCTGAAGCAAATCTTAGACATCATTGTCACTGTATTCGTAAAAACTTCAGCATATATTTCAGCATATAACCGCAAGCTGTAATGACAGTGCCATTAGCAACAGAAAGAATTGAGCAGTAATTCCTTAATTCCTCAGTACCATTGCCTGTCCGGTAAATGGTTTTTTGTTGTTTTTTTTTTGGTACCGGGAATTGAACTCTGGACCTTGCGCTTGCCAGGCAGGCACTTATGCCACTGAGCTATATCCCCAGCCCCTGTAAATGTTTTAGAGTTCCCCAACTGAATTTTTTCTTTTTGAGACAGGATCTCCCCAAATCACTAGCTGCCAAGGTCAGGCTTCAACTGCTAACCCTCCAGCCTCAGCCTCCCACAGAAGTATTTGTGTACTTCCCCTTGGAAGAGGCAAATTCACTGAGACAAAGCATAGAAGCTAAGAGGGGCTGGTGGGGGGAAAGGAAGAGGAGTATTTAATGAATACAGTTTCAGTTTCATTTTTTGAAACATGTTCTTCCCAGGCAGTTAAGGCTGCCCTTGAACTCACTGTGTAGCCCAGGCTGGCTTCCAACTCACAGCGATCCTCCTGCCTCAGCCTCCCAAATGCCCGGAGTCCTGGCGTGTGCCCCCTCTCCTGGCTCACAGCTCCAGCTGGGAAAGGGGAAAATGTTCTGGAAATAAGAGTGGTATTGGTTAAGCAACAATGTGAGTGTATTAATAAATGCTACCGAACTGTCCAGTTAAAATAAGCCTAGCTCAGTGCTGCACGCCTACCATGCCAGCACTCTGGGAGGCTGAGGCAGGAGGATGGCAAGTTTGAGCCCAGCCTGGGCAATCCAAAATACTTAGAAAAGGGGCCAGGGATATAGCTCAGTGGTACAGCACCTGCCTGGCAAATAAATGCAAGGTTGTAAGTTCGATTCCTGGTACAAAAAAATCAAAAACAAAACTAAAAACATGCAAAATACTGAGAAAAAAAGAAAACAAAAGGAAATCTCACCGTTTAGCCTCAGCACTGGAGACCTCCTCTTAACTTCCCCTCTGAGGTCATCACACGCCCTGTGCCCGAACCTCCCGGAAGACACTCCCACCCCAGGTTTCTGTTTCTGAGTAGTAGAGACTGGAGGCATCCAACAATTTTCTGAGCATTTCCTGTAGGCTCCTTTGGGTGCCAGCTGTGCAGTTGAGAGCCCCTGCGCCTGCTGGCGACTCCGGGCCCCCATCCTAGACTCCGGGCTGGAGCCTGCCCTCCCGGCTGCAGTTCAGGCAAGGTGCAGCCCTGACTTGTGCAACCCGTACCGCAGGCTTCCGCCTCCGCCCAGCCCACAGGCACCTCCTCGAGGCGCCTTCCTCTTCGGTGGCCACCATGATGCCTGCCAGGCTGCTATGGGGGGCCTGCGTGACCCAGGGGGTCTTTGCGCTGCTGCTCTGCTGTCTGTGGGCCCAAGGTGAGTTGGCCAGGCTGGGAGGGCTGGGCCTTCGCCAGGGTCTGGAGCACAAGAAAGCGGAGCATCTCTCACCAGCTGCGTGACGCCCAGGCCGTGGGAACGGGAACCCTTCCATGACATTCAGGCCTGCCTAGGGCTCCGGCAGCGTCAGGGAGAAAGCCCTCACTCCTGAGCTCCGCCCAGTCTGGTTGGACCCCTGCTTGTGACACATGCTCCCCGCAACACGCGTGTCACAGTGCTCTCTCTCTTCTCCAGCACTGCCCTCACCCCCAGCATTTGCCTCTGCTGTTCCCACTCTGAGATCACCTTCCTTTTCCCTGGGCAAATTCCCACTCACCCTTCAAAACTGGCCAAAGTAGGCGTGGTGGCACACGCCTGTCATCACTGGGAGTCCCAGGCCAGCCCAGAGACCCTGTATCTAAAAGTAAAAACTGCCCAGGGCGGCCTCGGCCTGGAGGATGCCTTTCCTATCAGCCCTTCCCGTGGGTTGGGTCAGACTTCCTCAGCCTCACTCCAGGGGTCCTGTCTTCCTCACCGGGTGGAGGGAGACGGCACCTGCTGCTGGGTAGGCTGCGGGCAACGGAAAAGCCACAGGATGCTGTCCTCATGGTCCCCAAGGTCCCCAGGGGCAGACGTTGCCCCTGCACCTGGAGTCCCCGGCTGCGGTGCCTGCTGGCGGCGGCCCCGTCTTGGTTAACTGCAGCACGCAGTGCCCCAGCCCCTCCCACCTCAGGCTGGAGACATCCCTGCTGAAGCAGCCGAATGGCAGCGGCCCCGGCTGGGCCACCTTCTGGCTCAGCAACATGACAGAAGATAGCACCATCATATGCTCCGCGCTGTGTGGTGATGCGCAAGTGACAAACTCCTCCAAGATCACCCTGTACAGTGAGTGGCCACACTGGGGTGGCAGGGGGGGGGGGGCTCGGCCCGGAGGGGAGCATGACAGACACGGACAGACACATCTCAGCTGTATGCAGAGCAGCTGTTGCAAAATCAATTCCCTGGGGTCTCAATACACCTTTCCAAAATTATCTCTTAGGGCCTGGGATAGAACTCAGCAGCACAGCGCCTGTCAGGCAAGCGGAGGTCCTGAGTTTGGTTCCTGGTACCCAAAAAAAGAAGTTATTTTTTACTGCCAGGCATGGTGGTGCACACCTGCTATCCCAGACTAGGGAGGCTGAGGTAGGAGGATCACTGCAAGTTTAAGGCAAGCTTGAACTACATAGCAAGACCCTGACTCAAAAAAATGTTTTAAAATTATTTGTTTAGTTTTGTTTGTTTATTTGTTTTGAGACAGGGTCTCACTATGCAGTTCAGGCTAGTCTTGACCTCTCTTTGTAGCCCAGGCTGGCCTTGAACTTGCAACGATCCTCCTGCCTCAGCCTCCCAAGTGCTGGGATTATAGGCGTGAACCACCACACCTACTTGTTTAGTTATTTTTGGTGTCAGGAATCAAGCCCAGTGTCTCAGGCATGCTAGGCCAGTGCTCTACCGCTAAGCTACACCCTCACCCCCAAATCCCTGCTCTCAATAGATGAATTCTTTCTCTATCCCATCATTGGTTTCTTAAGGGTCATTCCTGAGTTTCTCAGCATTTACAAGAACAGAATAAGCCAGGTATGTTGGTACACTCTTTCAGGCCTAGAACTCTTGGAGGCTGAGGCAGGAAGATCACAAATTCAAGGCCAGTCTGGGCAATTTAGCAATTTGGTGAGGTCCTGCCTGTAATCCAGGTATTTAGGAGTCTTCCTGTGGCAGGAGGATGCAAGTTCAAGGCCAACCCCAGAAATTTAGTAAAACTAGCTAAAAAAAAAAAAAAAAAAAAAATCGAACAGGGCCAGCTGATAATTGGTCTTGGCTTGTCCTTCTGTTAGGCTTCCCGGAGCAGGTGGAGCTGCGCCCCCTGCCGCCCTGGCAGCCCGCGGGCCAGGACCTCGCCCTGCGCTGCCTCGTGGTGGGAGGGAAGCCCCGGGACCGGCTCACCGCCGTGCTGCTCCGGGGACAGGACCAGCTCAGCCGGCAGCCCGTGGTCGGGGAGCCCGCCGAGGTCACGGCCCCCGTGCGGGTGGGCAGGGCCGACCATCTCGCCAACTTCTCGTGTCGCACGGAACTGGACCTGCGGTCCCAAGGCCTAGAGCTCTTCCTCAACACCTCGGCCGCCAGGCAGCTCCGGACGTTCGGTGAGGGGCTGGGG